ATATATATATATGTTTAAAAAAGATAAATACTTCAAAGCAAGACTGAATAACAGAATTTAGAGCTCTCTTATTTGGTTTGAACACTAAATGATTTGCTTAAAATAGCTAACGAATTGTTTCAGCAACAAATTTTTTTAGTCAATCAGTAGTATCACAAGTAAACATCTTCAACAAAGATGAAGCTAAACATTGAATGATGGAGCAAAACTGAGAATCTGTTAAGGTTGCATTAACAGATCAAATCTGTCAAGAATCCTGTTTCATCCTGTTTCAATGCAACAAACATGCTAGATCAACATTACTACGTTCATCTTAAGAGTATCTAACCGGTTAGTACAGCTGTTAGCCAAAAAAAAAAAAAAAAGGCAATACGATGTTTGTAAAACCAATTTAATCTTTATAATATTAGTAGTGTTTAGACAGAATAAACAAATAAATATTGTTACCATATAGAGGCAGTATAACTGAAGCGATATTTTTTGCAATATATAGTTATCAATTAACTGTTTGTAAAAGCAGTATTTGATGTTAAAAAAAAATTGTCTGCTAAAGTTGTTCATCAGATGAAAAATTTTTTGATCTTTTTTAACCACAGATGACAATCATTTGTGCATCATTTATCGTTTAATGATCAATTTCTTTCAAAAAATTACAGGCCGGTTCACTTCTGCTTTTTTGCTTTTTTTTTTTTTGTTTTTGTTTTTGTTGTTGTCACAAACAAACTAAACAGAAATGATAAATGGATACAAAATTGAAAAAGAAAAAATAAAGCCTTAAAAATGTTGAAAAGTTTTTTTAATTTTTTTTTTTCCTTTGTGTAGCAAAAAGAAATTGATGTTGTTTATGAGCAAAATTTTGATCTAAAAATTTAATGTGTATCAAAAAAAGTTGTGGATTGCCAGCATTCGGTTTAAACTGCAACAGTTACAAAAAAAAAAAAAAAGGTACTATATTATTGATAATACTTTGATAAGCTAAGCTAATATTTTAAGTAATTAAAAGATGAAATATTTATTCTATACTACA